CGCCCTCGTGAAAAAATATGACTAAAGAATATAGAAGCGCTGGAGAGGGCCATATTGTCCGTATGTGAACACATAAAGTCAGTGCGTCTAATTCCTGTGAAAAGTTACCTGATATGAAACGGTGATCCCCATGGGACGAATGACACAGGCGCAACAGCATCAGATTCACTTGCCAATATGGTGGGGCAATTCGGGAGCAAACGACAACCAAAGGCTATTGACTCGGGGAGCTGGGCTGAATCGATAGACCCACGGGCACTCGTGCGATGGGGGCAGTATGGAGTAACCCTGGATGCAACCCAGCTGAAATGAAAAATGATTGGACTGGAATGAAAACCGGCTACGGCGTTTGCGAGGCTCAATTGTATGCAACGCCATGGCATGGCAAAGGCAAGCTTGTCTCATATATTGGTGGTTCCATATGGTTCTGGGATCAGTCGCCATTCACCGGCACCAGAGGGTCTTATTTTTCCTATGTCGCTGCTCTTGTGTTCACTCGGCTATCGGCTAAGTTACCCTTATGTCAAAAAAAGAAATTTCGAAATTATAAATATATATAAACCCACCCTCATCACTTAAACCACTACCTCACCCTTTTTGATTCTTCTTCGTCTCCTGCCTCTGCGCCTCCCCCCTCTCCTCTTGCAGAGCAATCGTTTCTACTAAGTTTTATTATCAATCTTCATATTTGAGAACCCATTTTCATCGACTTGGTCCCCCCGCCCTCTGTCCCCGTACTACCAGAGGCCGACTCACCGCACTTTCCATTTTAAACCCCAACCACTATGAGCAACCATCCCCATGAGGACGACGACACCATGATCATGGACGACGAAGGCGACATGGACGGTGAAGACCAGCTTGTAGACGACGAAGGTTCCCCTTCGGTCGCCCCGCCATTGTCGCACACCTCCTCGAACAACCAAACTACTCGTGACACCTCACCGCCAGACCACAAACCAGCCTCCTCCGCACGACGAAGAAGACCTCACGAGGGCTCTTCTTCTCTTCATGGACCGATTGACAAATCAGCCCGCAAACGGGAACAACGCGAGCGCGAAAAGGAGCAGCAAAAGCAACTCCTCGCCAAACTAATCGAGATATTCGGTGAGCGCTTCAAACCAGTCATTTTTTAAAACCTCCATAAACATTTTTCCTGTCGGGCGACATGCGGGCACTGCTTCCGCACGAGACCACCGCTCTCACTATGCCCTTTCTCTCCCGATATGTGCCATCACAGCACCGAGCGCTAACATTGTCACTGGCAGAGGCCGGCGGGGGCACATGCGCCGTCCAGCAAGGACAAAAGAAGTTTCCATGGGTAGACTTACCCGCTGCACTCATCCGAATCGGTAAATACTTTGCGGGATGGCCCGAAAAGTGCTTGCCCAAAATGTCGGACAAGCACCCAGACCGTATCGACGCATCGACTGGACCCTCTCAATGGTCGCTGAAACAGAAACGAGCTATGGAAGCGCAAATTGCAAAAGGCGCGGTAAAGCTCCTTCCCCGCCCTGAGGGTACGTTTCCGCTAGTTTGGAATGTATTGTATAGAACTTCGTCCTTCTGACGTGCGGTACTCTCGCCTCTTACAGACAGAGCAGTGATATTCGAAATTGTCGACGACTATGGAAACGTCAAGGATTCCACTGTCGAGTTCTCGGAAAACTGGGTCCGTTACAAACTATTGGGGCTCGGTGTTGTCGCCAACTCGCCTGCACCCCATTCAATCTCACACAGCAACTATGCCCCGGACCCTCGCCATATGCCTCCTGCTATGACCCCTGACAGGGACCTCTCCCCACCGAATCGCACCCTCGCGTTGCCTCCCATCCGGGCCCATGGTGACTCGTTTAACGAACGTCTAGATCTGCCGAGCCTATCTAAGATGACGAGTTATAGTGGTTTACACACGCCCGAGGACGGTTCTAGGTCACCATCACCATCGAGCAACTTCTCTGATAGTCGTCACTATCCTGGTTCCTTCCTCTCGAGCAACAGGCAGACGCACTGCCCTCCCCTTCGTAACAGCTACCCTTCCTCACTTAGTCAAGACGACTTTTTCTCATCACGTGGAAGGGTGCTTACATTGGAGCATGGGCTTCCTCGTACTGCTACGTCCCTACGCTCAACCTCACGTCAAAGAAGTATTCACCCATATCATCATCACCCATACTCTCAGACATTGGCCGCCAGTAGTATGTCATCCATAAGGTCACGACCCCCGTCACCCCTGTCCGTTCATACACACTCGCATTCACGTTCGCATTCTGGTGTCACAACCTCGACATTACCCGCGGCCAATGAACTATTGCCTGGCTCCGCGTCACGAAGCGCTTCGCTGAATGGCCCTTCGCTATCACCTTCCTCAGGAGCTGGGCAACAGAGTGTTCCTTCTCACGTTCCAGATGTGCCTGGATCCGTCGTAGCATGGGACGCTCCGACGCGCGGATGGGTGCTTAAAGTACAGCATGAGGGTGGCCTCCGAACATTACCCTGCTCAAGCGGCAGTCTCGTTCTATGGCATAGAGAAATGGATGAGTGGGAGTGCCGTCCCGCACAGCCTGAAATCGGGCGAGCAATTTGGAACCGCGGAATCGGCCGTTGGGAGCTATATTTACCATCAGATGATGATATGGACGTATCAGCGGCACCTGCCAACTCGAGTCGGCACGCTAATTACCCCACTCATATCCCGGCCGTTGACGGAACCTGTCTATTCGATTCAGAGCGTTTCCATGCATGGGTCTTTTACCCTGCCCCTGGCTGCGAGAACCAGCTACCGATTACTCCCTGTGTCATCGTTTGGAGTGTCGAGAGGAAGCAATGGTCGTTGCTTTCTGAATCACCCAACGGTGCAGAGGTCTCTTGGAGCCAAGAAGACAAGGCTTGGCATTTCAGTATGCAGATGCGGCCATCGAGTAAACACGGAAACTTGGGTCCTTCCTCTAATGCGTCACCTCGTCCCTCCTCCGCTCCTCACCCTAATACACTACCACCACTAATCATGCGCGCTTCATCGCCCATTCACTCGCCGCGCTCCACTGCGGCTCGACCAATGTCAACTGCGAGCTCCTCATTTTGAAATGATAACGGGGTGTGGAATTCGTCATCTCGTCATAAGGGGAGGATTAAACTTGATCCTTTATCGACGAACGGGGAATAGTCTTTGATTATTCATATACTTTTCAACCGTATTCTTAATAGCGAATGAACTTTGGCATTAACTAGCATTCCATTGTCATCAGCATCATCTCTATCAGCATGCTGCCTCCAGCAACATTTTTATATCGCAAATCCAACTCCCTCGGCATCAACTCGTACTCATCCCTTTGAAGCCACCGCTGGCTTCGTTTTTTGTCTCCTGCATCCTGGTCCCGGCCCATCAACTCCGCGTTTCTGAACATATTGACGTCTGCTTTCCATTCACCACCGCCATGCTAGTGGGGCTCAATCGGTCGAATTTTTTATTCTTGCTTCCGTATTAGTCTTTTTGCGACCGTGCTTCATAATGTAATACGAACTCCTC